ATATATATATATATATATATATATATATATATATATATATATATATATTTATATATAACATCTTTCAAATAAAAAAATATACATTTTAGCTTTATATGAAAACAATCGCTTATTCCATTTAAATAAAAGAATTCAGATCTAAATAAATATATTATTAGTATTCACCGAATAAATGTTTTTTATTTCAATGTACTGTTAAAGGAACTTAAAAGATTAATCAAATCTTCGTGTCAACCAGTGAGCTTACGCTACATTTTCAAACGATAATTGAAAGTTTCATTATTTGCTCTTTAATAGCATACAATGCCAGAAAAGAATACGAAGTAACGAAGGAGCCTATTCTTCAGGTAAATACGATTTTCCGTTAGATAAGGATTTTTGAGTCACTAAAAATGCTTGATCGTCAAGCATTATGAGTGAGATGAAATGAGTTGAGACGACGGACAATAACACTTGAAGAATTCGACGTGATACTGATTCATATCCCTTTTGTAAAATACTCCTTATCGATTGGACGAGGTATCACATTAACTGGCAGCTGCGTTAGATCGCTGCGATATAGTCTACCACGCTGTATATCTTGACTGCCGAGTTGCTGTTTTACTAAAAATAATTTTCTCTCGTTTTGCAGAGTACGCTGACACGCGCTTCCCCGTATTATTTTTGGCATGACTGAATCATTGGCAGCTGGCTCGAGGCGGAGCCAAAATAGTCAACTGCCTCGGCCAGCTTCTCCCGAAATCATCATGCCGACTTCGTGGAATGAAGGTGGTAGTCTGGGATCGAAGACGAAGATGAGCCCACGGAAAAGAATGTCTCCTTGATGAATCAGCGTGTCCGTTTGTTCTCATGGGCAGGTACTGTTTGCTTCATCTTCAAGGTTAATCTCGAGATCCGCCGAGTGTCACCCTCTTAGTCACGTCATACGATGAATCGTATTTATGACGCGAGCAACAAGCCGCGGGATTTTGTTTTGTCCTTTGGGTAGACATTTAGCGATAGCTGAGAAAGGATGCTACGTCCTCTGCTGTATACTCGTCTGGCCCGAGGTCTGACATTTCTGACGGTTGAGCGTTGATCGTCGAAGGGCAATCTCCAAGACTGAGGGCTGTTTACATCGAGTTTGCGATCTATATCCGCATCGAACGTCTCAACGTGAACGATGTAACATCGAACGTAACCGATGCGGCGCGCGTACTTGCTTTAATGAAGACATATATTGTTTCGACGCGCCTCACGTCTTGAGAAGCTCATATCGCTTATATCGCTCATATCGCTCATATCGATATTTACATATTGTAAAATGTTTACTTTGGTCGGTTGATAATAATAAGAAAAAAGAACTCTCGGAAATACCCTCTCAATTTCTTGGAGTAAAAAGTGGCACTATTTTTACTTGAGGTGATAGTGAAAATATTCGTAATCACAAGAATGAGTGTTTCATTCAAGATTAGAGTGGATTATGACACCATATGAATAAACGTTTCAATCGATTGGAGTGAATATGTTCCTTTGGCGGAGAAATGCAATTTACCTTTCAATTTTGAGTGAAAATATTCACTCAACGATTCAGAACGGAGAATTTATTCTATGGGAATAAAAAATCACTCAAATTCGACTGTCACTTCGAGTGAGTAGCTGTCACTCTGCTATTCGAGTGAAACTTCACCCCAAGAAATTTAGTGAGTAACACAAATATCAGGCGCCAACTCAGAATAATTCGTCCAAGCGTGTGTAAGCAAGAACGCGAGCGACCCAAGCCGTCGTTGTCGACGTCGTGGAGTCTTCGTGGAGTTCTGAGCCGGCGGCCAAATATAGCCAGGTAATGTAATACATATCACGTGCTCAAAAATAGCCTAAGAAAAGGGCCTAGCTAAGTGTGCACACGGCACTGCATCTGCTTCTCGTTTGGAACGTGCGCCGCGTGACAGAAACGGTCGATGTAAGATATTCTCGTGTGTAAGTATAATCGTTGGTTACTCCGAAACAGGAGACTTGTGTTTCTTACTCGAATCTAATCACTGGTTTTTCCTGACAAGCGATCGAGCGAAAAATGGAAGAAATTTGTTCCTATTACTTCATAAATTTCTTAGAGTAAAATTTTACAAAGTAAGCAAATATATTCCCCTGATTTCATGGGGCATATTCAAATTTACTGTTCAATTTCGAATTTAATAATTTGGCTATCACTTTATCTTCCGGATGGAATTTTACTCGAAGAAATTTAGAAAATATACCGACAAAATACTGAAAGTTTTGTTTGCCTAAAAATGACTTGTCTTCTAATATTACGCGGAAGTTGTTTATTTTCTTTACCTAAAAATGACTTGTCTTCTAGTATTACGCGCAAGTCGTTTATTTCCTCTACCTAAAAATGATTTGTCTTCTAGTATTACGCGCAAGTCGCCTATTTCCTCTAACCTGTGTGCGATGCGCTTCGAATAATTTAACGGAGCAACATTCTCCGTTACAGAAAGATGCAACGGTAAATATCTCTCGTTCTATCAGACGCATTACACCATTACGAGGGTATCGAGCGTTACAATCTGAATTAATCTACGCTTACAGTGCGCCACTCATGGAGGCATGTTTAATCGGTGACCGTGCAATTCTGGTGTATGTTACGTTTATATATGTATTTGCGGTATATATGTTGGGATTGTGAATCTCCCATTGGCCATGAGAATTCCTTTATCTGGCAGTCGTGGTGTCGTGTTGAAATCGTCATTTTCACGACGAAGGTATTGTGTTATTATTAATTAGACGACGGCAATTATCGAAACGGCAACAAACGAGACTTGTACGTACTTCGAACATTCGGTTTTATTGGGACTTTCAATTGTACAATAATAAATAGTCGATTAGTAAAACGTTAGAGGTAATCCCTATCCGTATGCGTATGCATGCCGCTGTTCTCCTCTATTAAATGAGTATTTATAATAGCAATGGGCGTACATATGTGGCGAGAAGATGATATGTATATGTAAATATGTAGGTATATGCATATATATATACTCTTGCACTTTACGATATATACTTTTTCGTAGCAAATATCGACACTACAGCGAACGAGTAAACGAGTTACGTGTTTGACGCAATCGCGCAGCGCCACTGATCTCATCTCTTTTCTTATCTTTCCTTTCCATCCACGATAATCGTTAACATCGTATCTTGCGTTTGACGATAATAGAGCACCTATTTACACAGAACTGGTAGCGTTAGTTTATCGTAGAGAGATTGCGAAAAATCACACTCTTTTGTCCTGAGATTAAAGTCGAAATATAACATGGCGTGGGACACTCGTAGAACGACGTCTCGCTCATACTGTTACACATCCACCTACGTCGATGTTCAAAATCATTCGCGCTACGCTTGTCCCGACCGATCACACTGTAGAACAGCTTCGATTTTTCGCGTGGATATTCGACAGTGCCTTTGGCAGCATATAATTTTTAGCACCACCTTCGCAACCGTTGCGAAACATATGTTTCACTGTAATTTCCTTCTTCGAAGAATATATGTATAAATACCTTCGTGTGTGATACAGCCTCTCTCTCTCTCTCTCTCTCTCTTTCTCTCTATCCCATTGAGTGTCATTAATTATTCCCTCGTTTCACTCGCTCGGCTATTCTCAAAACACGATGAGTTAGTACAAACTCCCCGGACGCATACGACACTTTTGATTAGAGGTTACTTGAGACGGAGGAATACTATCTGTAGATCGACGAGTTACGTTTTATACGGAAGGCAACGGAAATAAAAGAACAAAGCACAAAAGTAAAAAAAAAGTATTTCAGCGAATATTCGCGGCGAATCGCGCTGCGCGGAGACGGCTAATTGAGGCGATGCAAAAATACGATAGTTAGTCGCGACAGTTACGCTAAACACGAGCGCTTAATCAAGTAACGTTTAACTACATATTAGAAGTATCCACGAACTCGATGTTCAACTCCACAACACGTTAACGTCTGCTCGCATCCGTTCCGCTATATTGTTTCGCTATACTGTTGAGGACTATTAACTGATCGTTCCGAGACAATCCTGGTGAATTACCTCGTGTCGTCGTGCACACATGTATGCGTACACGAAGAGTACCGGCGAAGTTTCGTCGTGATAAATTGCAATCGAGCGACCGACGCGTAAAACGTATAACAGGATGGAGTTAAAAAAATGTTACTTTCTCCAACGTCGAACGTGGTTAGTTACCAAGATTAATTTGCTAAATGTCATACGTGAGTTAACTTTGTCATGCCATTGTGTTTCGAGTAATATGTTCGTCTCCGGCAGTCTCTTGGAGTCGTATGAATATGAGTATCCAATCGCGTATCGTGTTAGCAATCGAATCTGTATCTTGGATTCAGTTCTTACTTTTGACGATGAGTTTGGCGGATGTTTCTACAGTACCGGCCGAAGTAGTAGCGCGGCAGGTGAAGGTGCCGGTGTCCTCCTCGTAGGTGGTTGCTATGAGTAGCACCGCGTTGTTGCCTTCGTGAATCATCTGAAAGCGATACGCCATACATTTCCCCCTGAGTGTTGTTCCCTCTCGAGCGAAATCTGTGTGCAATTCTACGCGATCAGACCGTGGCGAATTATTTACCTGGAAGTCCGGCGACTGTGGGATCAGGGCACCCTCTCGATACCACTGAATCGTCGGCTTGGGTTTCGCCGGGCTCACTTGGGTCTTAAACTGCGCCGGCTGTCCTTCCATGACGATCTGATCCTTCAGAGGCGTCAGCTTCGGCAGCACGTCGGCCGTGTCGGGCGCTAATCAGCAACGAACAATAAATGGTTCTTTTCTTTGCACGGTATACAGAAAGAAGCAGGATGTAATCAAGTCGAATTGCTCTTTCTCTTCTCTTACCGAGAACTCTGAGATTGGCGGATGTGGTCACCTCACCGGCTGGGTTCTTAGCGATGCATTTGTAAACACCTTCGTCTTCGGGGAACGCCTCGGAAATCCTCAGAGTGCACATATCGCCTTCCTTCTGCATTTGGAAATACTTGGACGGCTTGATCACCTGCAAGCGCGATAGATATTTCGGGTGAAATTCCTTGGAGAAATCCGTAAACTTAGATCCATCAGTATCAACGTTGACTACCTTGTCGGCTTTCTTCCACTGCACAGTAGGAACTGGTTTTCCTGTAATCCTGCAGGCGAAGGCGACTGAAGTTCCTTCCTTGATAGTTTGATCCTTCAACGGCTCCAAGACGGTGGGAGCTTTCTCCGCTGTCGGTGTCGTGGGTTTCGAAGTCTTCGTCGGGGATTGGGGTCCGCGAACGGTACATTCCGCTTCGCAACGAGCTTCTCCAGCACTGTTGATTGCAACGCATTCGTACTTGCCAGTATCCTCCGGAACTGTCTCTAAGATCAGGAGGGTGAACGTATTGTCTTCTTCCAGAGTTTTGTAACGGATATCCGTCGTCACTTTCTTGCCATTCTGAAATAGAAAAGAGATATTAGAAGTTGAGTAAGTTCAAATTTTGTAATTTTATATAGTCTAAGATCACAAAAAATTTTTCTTGTAATTTTTGTTATAATATTTTTTCCGTGTATGACAAATTGTTAGTCAAATAACGGAGTATTGGGATTACCTTGAGCCAATAAACGTCCAACGGTTTAGTGCCGGTTATCTTGGCGTCGAATCTAGCGAGTTGACCGGTAGCTAGTGAAGTGGATTGAATTGTCGATAAGAAACTAGGTGGTATCGCTCCACCACGTCCAGGTTGCCTCCTGCGCTCCTCCACGACTAAGTTGGCGCTGCACTTGGCTTTTCCACCTCTGTTCTCAGCGATGACGGAGAAGACGCCGGAGTCTTCCATGAAGACTTGCCGGACAATCAACACCGATTTGGTGCTGAAGGTATAAATCTGGAGGTCGGCCGAATTTTGGATTGGGAAATCTTCGCGGTACCATTTAATAGTCGGCAATGGGTCTCCATCAAATTCGACCTCGAACTTAGCCTGCTCCTGTTCGAATGCTCTGCAGGGTTGAATCTTCTTTGTAAAGACGGGCGGTTTTGCCGGTTTTACTTGGCCTTGAACCACACGTTCCTGCGTCTTGCCTTTGTGCTCGACCTCCGTCGTTTCCGTAGCTGTGATCTTCCTCGTTATCTCCATATCGCCTTTCACTTCCTTCTGCGTCTGCTTCTGTTTGGCTACGTGAACTTCGCGGCCGTGAACGGTGGACTCGGACGGCTCCGGCGGATATTTCCCTGTGGCTTTCACGCGTTCCGTGTCAATGTCCACTTCAGTAACGAACGGCTTCTTCACGTACTTTGGAGGTGGTGTTTGCGCCGGTGGTTGAGTTGTCTCGTCTCTAATAACGAGAGATCAATCGTTGGCGAGGAAAGAAATAGCCAACCCTGCTTCTCTATTAATTTTATTGTAATACTTACAAATTTTCTTCGTACTTGTAAGCCATTCCCTTTGCCAAGGAACTAGAGACGAGCTTGTCGCCAGGAATAGCGAACTGATGAGAGGCCTCTCTCAATCTGGACTCTTTGAGCACCTGCTTCTCCTCGAGATTCATCAGCTTACTGTAGTAGTCTTCATTCTTTTTGCTCTTAACAGACTTTTGCCAGTCGGTCTCAGGTTCTTTGATGACCTTATGCCCGAGATGCTCTGTGGCGATCTCGATGCCTTGGGAAACGCTTTGGTGACGCTCGTCGAACACACGCTCGAGCTCTGTGTTCTGTCGCTCGGTCTGGTACTGTGTTAGCCCATAATCGTACCACGCTGAAGAAACAGTTTGTTAGATCGGTGCACCCTTGTACGCGCCGTACAAGTTTTAAACGAGAACGCGTGCTTCGAGCGGACGTAACAGTCGGTTGGTCTAGATAGAGAATACAACGTTCTTCGTAGTAAGGTACAAAGTTCTTCGCACACTTGCAAAGATATTAGATCTCGCATGCATTGTTGCTGAAATATATAGCGGATCGTGCATTATAGAGTAATTAATCTGGAGATCCGATTCAGTACCTTCGTGAAGCAACGTTGCGCTTCTCTCGACGAAAGAACAATACTTATTGGAAACTTGACGATATTTAAGACACAGTACGTAAAAGACGATGCAACACATATCGATGACACCTAAATAACGGGGATCGAGCAGGGTATAGAGAATTCCACTTATATCACGCCGTTAATACATAATTCAATTTGTTTCATTTTATCATATCATATGCCCATTGAAAAAAACATTGTTAGATGAAATCGTTCCTCTCTTACGAACGTGCTCTCCTTCGCTTTATGAGAAGGCTTGTTTCAAAAAATAGAAAAAAAAGAATGAAGAGGAAAGGGAAATCCGCCGCAAAGTTTCTTCGTCAAATTAACTGAGTAATTTCGCGTAACTCATCGAACCTCGCTTCTTGTTCGACGAATTAATTTTGACAAATAGTCACTAGCAATTTCTTGCACGAAACAAGAATAAATAACATCAAGGATGCATATCTTAAAAAAAAAAAAAACAATAAATTAAATATATAAAGTTTAGGTTTAAATTATATCGACTATTCTCAATACTGAGAAATACGGAGACCTGCTCAGCATTTATAAATCATTGGTGCCAGCAAGAAAACAGTATCAATAGATCAATGATGCAAGGCAGTACTTTAAATTACTCGTCTTTTTAAAATGAGTTTCGAAATCTATTTTCTTCTTCTTACCTCTCCCATTCAGTTATTAAGCCTCGCGACTATTTGTCACCGAATTTAGCTTCAGAATCGTCAGCTTAATAAGACTTGAGGGATTCTTCCCCTAATTTTTGAAATGTTCTCACTGAAACTAGCGTTCTATCGTTGTTTATAATAATATAAATATATTGGTAGCGTAGATAAAAAGTATAATATTATGTAAAAATAACTAGCTTCAATAAGAACTTTTCAGCAATTTGGAAGGGTTCCGAAGGTTTCTTGAAGTTGTAGCTCTGAAGCTAAGCGCTTAGGCAATTAGTCGCGAGACTTGACGGACAAACGAGAGCTGTAAGGGGAACAAAGCAAACATAGACTTTGAAAGTTGCCTCGAAAATGCAAGTAATTCCGAACATTGCAATGTAAGAAATGTGTAAATAAATAATGAATAAATACTGCAAATATTTTATACAATGCGAGATTGCGCGAGCTTATATAAAATAAAGTAAAAATAAATTAAATGCCTGTATGACTGAAAAATAAAAATTGCGGCGATGAGCAATAAACCCGTTTTCTCCAGTGCAATAAAAAAGGTAGGGCAAACGGAGGATAGTATTTTCGAGATGTCTTCCGCGTCATTTTTCAATAAAAATACGACGTACATGAAAGGTGCTATTAATTTTGCACGTTAACGACAAATACTCTCCTCCGCATTTTCATGAAACAAAAAAACACTGATAAAACGTGGAACAATATTACGAACGTTTTTCCGACTATCACTTTCCATACCTGAATGTCGATGTGAGAAGCATACCTTTGATCTAAGGTGATTTTGTTCTAATATTCCCGTCGATATTCCCAACCACGACGAAGAAGAAGGAGAAGAAGAAGCTGCTGGACTCGAGATGCTTTTCGTGACTTTGGAATGTGAAACGGAGAGCAAGGAAGGAAAAAATCATGTGCGGATGGTCTAGAGTGTTCTTTGTGCTCCAATGGAATGTATGTGTCGTATCGATATTATATATACATATATATATATATATATATATATATTATGTACTGTGTTTCGGTCACGTAATACTTTTAAATCTATGCTCGTGAATTGTAATCGGCGAGGTTTGCATAACCGCTTATTTTTTATTTTCACGTGTGGTATATTTGTACCGTTGTAAATCGTTCAAATTGTTATACCGCGCGTGGATTTTTCGTGATCAATCTTTTCTTGTAACGCTGAGAAAGTCTTTGAAAAGTCGAATACAATTATATTATTAGTCATATATAGAGTGTCCCGCATAAGACGTACCAAAAGATAAATATAAGTAGAACGTATAAGTGAAATATATGGTCGAAGTTATTTTTCGAACAATTACGTAACATTTCGAGTTATTAAATAAAATAGATGGACTAATCAGAGCTCGCGACGCGCCTATGAGATAAGCGCGCGAGCAATCGGCCATTTCTTCGCCGGCCGTGGATTAGTTCATCTATTTTATTTAATAACTCGAAATTTTACGTGGTTGTTCGAAAAATGACTTCGACCATATGTTTCACTTTTATCTGTTCTACTTATATTTTTCTTTTGGTACGTCTTATGTGAGACATTCTGTACATATGTATAATCTCGGTTTAAATTCAGCTTATTCTGCCGTGACGCGAAGAATCCACGAGCGTGTATGTGTACGATTGTTCATGTGCCAGTGTAAACTTACGTCTTGGCGAATTTTTCAGTACACCACGGTAATCATCGCTTCGCTGCTTGACCGTCAAGGTCGTTTCCGTGCGTGTCTCGCCAACGGAGCTTCTCGCGATCACTTCTACCTTTCCGTGATCATATTGCCTAGTTTTTGGAATATCCAGATGATACATGCCATCGTACGTCAATTTATAGCGGGACCCCTACAAGAGGAAGAAAAACAAATGCGATGTAATATTGGGTACTTTCTCGTTGCACATTACTGTATAGCGTGTCGGAAATGTTTCTCAACTCACATTGACTACTGTGTGACTGTTAATTATCCACATGACTCGAGGTCTTGGATGTCCGGTAACTCGACAGCAGAACCTAGACCAGTCACCTTCCTCGACGGTCACTGGTTCTGGTTTGCTCACGAAGACCGGCGCTGAGCGGACCTTTTCTTCCTCACCTTCCTCTTCCGGTACGCTATAATAAGCCAAGTAACAATGTAAAAAATAAAAATGTAAGTAAGGTAAAAATGCCAATGAAACGGAGTACTCCATCTTATATAAAAAGTTAAAAAAAGTTTACAAAGTTTCTATTGTTTTTAATACAGCATAAAGTCATTTATTAACATTTGTACTTTCATTCAGTATAAGCAGTTGCAATCTTATACGAATAATATGAAAAATAGAAAACACTGCAAAATACAAAGTTGCATTAAGTCGGTATCTAGAGAATTTCGTTAATTAATAAATAAAATAAAGTGGAAAAGTGAATAAGTAAAATAACTAAAGTCTTACATTTGCCATGCTGCTTCCATTTCTCTGATTTTCTCAATACTCTTCATGCCTTTCGGGAGCTGAGATTCGTAGATAATTCCTGGTTTTCCGGCAGTTCTGATCACGGCTCTTGTTTCATCCATACCGTAAAGATTCGTAGCTCTGCACAAATATTCACCGCTGTCTTCCGGATAGACCCAACCAAAGTTCATCGCCACGTAACCAAAGTCATAGATGGGTGTGAATCGATTCTTATGGGGCAACGGTTTACCGTTGAAGAACCATTCGACCTTCATATTTGGATCACCTACAGGTGCCAGTTGGCATTCGAACTTGGTGCTGTTCATTTCAACAAGATCCATCTGATCTTGAATCTGCGTGACGAAACGAGGTGGTTGTTTTTTATCCGCGTCGTATAGATCATCCTCAGTCAAGTGAACCTCCGAAGTGTACTTCTTGATTGTCGCTTCCATCTGCATCAGAGCTTCGGATTTTTTCATGCCCTTTGGTACTTGATTCTGCAGAATGATACTCGGCAATTCTGCAAAATAAATCATTCATTAGTTTGAAATAATTATTAAACTAAAAAAAATATGGCTAAAAGATACAAAAGAAACATCGAAACATATACTTTTGCAAGAAACTGAGGCGCGGGTGGTGTCCTCTCCAAGATCGTTGATTGCTTTACAAACGTATTCGCCGGAATCTTCGGGATACACGTATAGAATGTCCATCGATACGAATCCCATATCATACACCGCTCTGTATCTGTGTCCTGCAGGTATCAATTTGTCGTTTCTGTACCATTCGATGCGCAGGTTAGGATCATCCTTGGGCTCTACGCGGCATTCAAATCTGATTGGTTCAGACTCGTCAACGGTCGCTGATTGAATCTGCGTGATGAAATGAGGAGGTTGACGTGGTGGTTCTTCCGCGGGAGCTTGAGTGACTGGTCCTCGCTCTAATTCCTTCAACTTCTCGCCACTCATCCCCGATGGCAGTTGAGAATCAAAGTCTATCGCTTTCTTGGCTGTAAAAAAATTATTTTTGTTTTACATCACAACTTAAAACGAGTTAAAACAAAAAAGAGTATATTAGATTCAAAGCTCGGTTTAAATTTCTGCCTTCTTCGATGGAATCGAATTTTTTGACTGATCAATATTTTTGCATAAGTATTTTGGTAAGGATTTCTTGATTTAGTCAAATACTTACATTTGCAAGTGATAGTGGCCTTAGTAGTAGCAGAACCCCATTTGTTAGTAGCTCTGCAGACGTATTCACCGCTGTCTCGGGCGTACGTGTACGACATATCCAAAGATATAAATCCAAAGTCGTTGATCTGATGAACTCGAGAGCCTGTCGCGAAAGGCCGACCGTTGTGGAACCAATCGATGCGCATGGAGGAATCACCGACAGGCTCGACTCTGCAGTCGAAATGACTCGGTCCGGCTTCTTCAACTTCGATATCCTTCAACTCGACGATGAATCTCGGCGGATTCGGTTTCTCCTCCTCCGCTAAGATCTCATCTTTTTTGTACAGGGATTCTTCTAATTTCTGAATGCTTTCCGTACCGGTTTTAAAGTTGCTCGGCAATTGAGGTTCCAAGATGATACCCTGACGACCCCGCACTTGAAGTTTGCACGATACGGTCGCCTCGCCATGACGATTGGTGGCTTTGCAAGTATACAAGCCGGAGTCACGTTGATAGCAATTCGCGACTTCCAGAATGACGAAACCAAAGTCATGGATCGTTTTCACTCTGCTTCCGGCGAGAAGAGGTTTGCCGTTGTGGAACCACTCGACCCTCATGCTAGAGTCATTGATCGGCTGTAGCCGACACTCGAAATGAGCAAGAGAGTTTTCGGCCAGAGTCAGATCGGAAGGAGTCGTGATGAACTCAGGCGGTCTTCCAGTATCGTCGTCGGGACTAGCTTGACCCGGGACGTTTCCAAGGCCTTCCAACTCAGCAATCTTATCGATCGTGCTCTCCATACCTTTGGGCAGTTGGGATTCCAAGATAATGCTGCGTTTGCCCGTACACTTCATCGTGCACGTTGTCACAGCCTCGCCATAGTCGTTCGTCGCTCTGCAACTGTATTCGCCGGAATCCTCGGGGTAAATGGGGGAAATTTCCAAAATGACGAAACCAAAGTCGCAGAAGGTGCGGAAACGAGATCCCGTTCGCAACGGTTTACCGTTCCAGAACCATTCGACCTATGTAATAGAAAACAAAGTATGAGATATAAAATAGGAATTAAAACACAAGAAGAGAATATGAAGATAAAAGTACTATAAAACGAAAGGATGATCAATTACTGCAAAGAATGTTGGTCTATTTCTCGGTTACAAAATTCTATAGTAATTTTTAAAATTTGTGAAATCCTCTCTATGTAGAAGACAAAAATTAGATTAAAATTTAAAGAAGCCTCACCTTCAATTTTGGATCGTCCGTAGGTGTCAATCGTGCTTCGAAATGCGAGCTTTCTCCCTCGCGAAGTCCATCGATATTACTCAAAGGCACAGTGAACACAGGTGCCTTGCCACGCTCCTCCACGACCTTCTCATCCTTTGTACGTATCATCGCATCTTCGAGGTTTTGGATCTTCTCAAGGCCTCCTTCCATACCTTTCGGCAACTGCGACTCCAACACGAGATTAGCCTTGGAGAAGCATTTGAGCGTCGCTTTTGTAGAATCTTCGCCGTACTTATTGACGGCCCTGCATTCATAAGCTCCGGAATTCTCCTCGTAACAATAGAGTATATCCAAGATGACGATGCCAAAATCGTGGAAAGTGCGGTATCGATGGCCGTGAGGAAGCTTCTTACCGTTGTAATACCATTCGACCTTCAAGTCGGGATCGGTTACCGGAGTTAGTCTGGCCTCAAAGTGCGCCGACTGTCCTTCCACGAGCTTCGTAATGTCGGCGATCTGCGTAATGAATTTCGGCGGTTCAGCGACTGGAGTTGTCGGGGTGGTTGCTTGCTCTCCGCCGTAACTCTCGAGCTCTCGGATTCTGGCGAGCGAGTCTGGCTGTAAGGAGTCTAAGTAGACTCCGCTCTTTCCGAAGCACTTGATTGTGGCCTTTGTATAATCCTCGCCGTATTTGTTACTGGCTTTACAAACGTATTCGCCGGTATCGTGAGACATCACTCCAGCAATGTCCATAACAACGAATCCAAAATCGGACACCATCTTAAAGCGCGAAGAATGTCGCAGAGGCTTACCGTTATGGAACCATTCGACTTTCATATGAGGATCACCCACCGGGATCAGAGTGCACTCAAAGTGAGCGGATTGGCCGTCCTTCAAACCCTCTAACGATTGAATCTGTGTGGTGAATTTTGGTTTCTGTCCCTTGGACTTGTCCACGCATTCCAGTTCCACGCTGATTTCCGCTTTGCCCCACTTGTTAGTGGCTCTGCAAGTGTAGGTACCGGAATCCTCGATTTTAGTTCCGAGAACCTCGAGCACAACCATGCCGAAAGCGTAAACTGTTCTCGTACGGTGACTAGCTTCCAATGCCTTGCCATTATAAAACCATTCAACCACCATAGTTTGATCGCCGGTAGGAATGAGAGACGCCTCGAAGTGAGCGATTTCTCCTTCTGATAAATTGGTTAGATTCTCGAATTGCGACGTGAACATCGGCGGTTGACCCTCTTCGTCGCTTGGTGGAAGTCCTTCTTGTCGTTTCAGAGACTCCTCCAAGTCCTGAATCGCCTCGAGACCTTCTTTGCCTTTAGGATGTTGCGACTTTTCGATGATATTCTCCTTCGTGGAGCAATAAACTGTCGTTGATGTGAAAGCCTCGCCCGCTCGGTTATGAGCCTTGCAAGTGTAAATGCCGGAGTCACGCTCGTAAACATCTGTTAGGTCTAGAGTGACGAATCCAAAATCGCTAGTCATCTTGAAGCGTGAGCCGTGTTCCAAAGGTTTCCCGTTGAAGTACCAATCAATCTTCAAATTTGGATCATCCTTCGGCTCGACTTGTCCTTCTAGATGTAACGGTTCAGACTCTCCCAGTTTGAACTCTGGCAAAAGAGGCACTGTCCAAATCGGTTTGGGATATTCGTGCTCGGGAGCATCCTCTGGTCTCTTGTACTTGGACAAGTACGCGTCCTCGGCTTCCTTTACTTTCTCAAATCCGGCTTCTCCTTGTGGATGTTGCGTTTGCAGATAGATATTTTGCTTGCTGGTGCATTTTAAGGTACCCGAGGTCTGCGCGCTTCCCTTAGAGTTTGTGGCTTTGACGGTGACTACTCCAGAATCCTCTTCGTAAGCATGAGTCAAGTCTAGAGCAACGTAGCCAAAATCATAGGTGGACTTGAATCTCGCGCCAGTCGGTAAAGGTTTACTGTTCAGGAACCACTCGATCTTCATGGTTGGATCTTTCGATGGTTCAACGTTACACTCAAAGTGAGCGTTTTCACCTTCAATGCATTCCACGTTGTTGAGGTGAGTGATGAACACCGGTTCTTCGTAGATAGGCTCGGGTTGTTCAGCGGAAATTATGTGAGGCTGCTCCAGAGCGTCGATCTTCGACAAAGCGTCCGGATGCAAAGTGTCTCCCAAAAGCCAATGGCGGTCGGCGATCTTTAAGGTGCAGGTAGACACGGCTTCTCCCAAAAGATTGGTTGCCTTGCAAGTGTAAATTGCAGAATCATCCGCTCTCAGACCGTTGATCGATAAAGTCACTAAGCCAAAATCGAATGTGCTACGGAGTCTAGTTCCAGTCTGCAAAGGTATACCGTTCTTGAACCATTCTACTCTCAAATTGGGATCTGCTCGTGGTTCCACCTGAGCTTCCAGGTATACGCGTTGACCTTCTACAAGCTTGTCGTAGCTCTCGAGGTGCTTGGTGAAGACTGGCGCCTGTTGCGGCGTCGTGTCGACGAACATTTCTGGCACTTTGTTCATTTCCGCTTCCTTCAATTGAATCTTCTGCCACGCGTTTGCCTGTATACTGTCCGAATCGATGGCCGATCGCGCTTTCACTTTCAGCGAGATTGATGAGACAGCCTCGCCCGCATTGTTGATCGCTTTGCAAGTGTAGACTCCGGAGTCCTCAGAGATTACTTTCAGAATATCCAACGTCACGTACCCAAAGTCGTGGCTTACGTGGAAGCGTGAGCCTGAATAAGAAGTATTTTTTTCCTTAAACAAGGTATCTATGATACTTGCAATAATTTAGTCGTCAAAATATTTCTTACCCATTTTCAATTCGACTCCATTCATGTACCATTCGAATCTCAAACTTGCATCGCCAACGGGAACAACTCTGCATTCGTATCTAGCCATTTGTCCTTCCCAGAGCTCGGTGGGACCGGTTAACAATTGCGTGAAGATCGGTTTATCGAAGACCTTCTCCGGCTCCTCGGGTCGGCCAACTCCCTTGTCGGCTTCCAGTTGAGCGATTCTACGTTGAGCTTCTGGATGCTGAGTGTCGAGTTGTATACTCGCCTTGGCTATACGGGTTAATTTACAATTTACAGATTAGATTTTGTACCTTATTAGATCAATATCGATAGAATCGAGAAAGTGAAGTTACTCACTCTTAATCTTCATCGAAGCTGTGGTAACAGCTTCACCCAAAGGATTAGAAGCGCGACACATGTAAACACCTTCGTCTTCGTCGCGTACGTGAGCAATGTCCAAGGATACGAAACCGAAGTCATGCACCTTTGTGATTCGAGAACCTAAACGAGTCGCAATGAATATTAGTTTTGTATCATTTCGAACGAAATTTCGCGAGAAAGGCTTATATTAATAGTGATTACTTAAAACTTGTCTTACGTAAAATATTTAGGCTAGTCGTTACTTAGGCGGTTTGCTAATTATGAATATGAAGTCAAATGTGTAAAATTATTTATATAAATAATAAAATGTTTAAACAAAACATGTTGAAAAAATTATTTATATAAATAATTTCTCGGTTTGGATAAGATTCGAACCATTTTTGACTAATTTAGCACAGATTTGAAATATTTCGGTTGGAATCTCGGCTAAAAAAATTTAGAATTGTTTGTGTCTCAGTTATGCCGATTTTGTTAAAATTATTGAACTATATCTTGTATTCAATTTTATTTCTTATGTATTTTTGTTGCATTTATTGATGATAGGAGTGAGAACATTAAAAAGTTATAAACTGAAACTCAAAGTGAAACTCAAAGTGGGCCAAAATGAAAAAATATGATCTAAATATTTTTTGTACTTCTAAATTTGTACCAAATTAGAAAAAAATCGAAGTGTACCTTTTGGGTTTACTTGTAAGTTGTGCATTCACAGACGAAACGTTAGACAATCTTATCGAAATAAATTTGAACTTACTTGTCTCGAGAGGCACTTCGTTCCTGAACCACTCCACTTTGAGCATAGGATCGCCCACGGGTATGAGCCTGCACTCGAAGTGCGCGGTATGACCCTCGGCGATGCCATCGATGTTTTGCAGAGGTTGCGTGAAGACAGGTCGCTGCCGGGTTTGAGGCTCCGGCACATCCGGTCTCTTCCACGGCTGCTGAGCCTCGAGCTCTCGGATCTTGTCCATGCCTTCCGGCCGTTGTGAGTCCAGGATAATGTTGTCCCGCGGAATCACCTTGAGTTCGATAGACGACACACATTGTCCTAGCGCGTTGATTGCTCGCACAGAGTATTGTCCTGCGTCCTCGGGCACGGCGTGGCCGATGTCTAAAGCCACGTATCCGAAGTCGAACGTTACGTGGAAACGCGCTGCCGACGGTAACGGCTTGCCATTGTGGAAGAACTCGATTCGCAGGTTGGCATCGTGCAGTGGCTCGATTTGGCACTCGAAGTGAGCAGTTTGTCCCTCGTATATTTCCGTTGTGCCCTAGAAAAAGATTTTTTTGTTATACGAGCTCTGCGTTACACTTCTATTACACTCGTTACAAATGTTTTAACAACTTTAATATTGTTATCGCTGTTACTATGGCTTACCCTGAGTTCAGTGACGAATCTCGGTGGTGTCACTGGCGGTTCCTCAACTTCCAATCGTGCGGGGCGACCTTGAGCCTCTAATTCTCGAATCTTTTCTAGCCCGTCTGGATGTTGAGTGTCCAGGAGAATGCTTCGACGTGCTGAAACCACAAAATAAATCGTAACTGCTTTGCTTCTCCGGATAATGTATGCGATTTTATTTGTTTCATTTTAGTTTGCAAGAATTTATGGATTTTAACGAAACTCTTCTTTAAAGCGATGGCGTCCACTTGATGGATGTCTTCCTCTAAGATGAGTACCATTGTTGTCGGGGGATATTTTCAAATTTTTCATAGGTAGGAAATTGGGTGCCGGATATCGAGTGTTTTTCGCTGATAATTACGCGAAACAGTTTGCATTAGCATCGAATAGATCGAATTGCGCGAATATTGTGAATTAAACATATATATAATTGAATACTTACAGCCAACTTTGATGGTGCAAGTGTTAACGGCTTCGCCGGCCAGATTGGTAGCTTTGCACATGTAGGTACCGGAATCTTCGGGATAGGTGTAAAGAATATCGAGAGCAACGTAACCAAAATCGTGTGTAGTACGGAAGCGATGACCAGTTTTAATTGCGACTCCATTGACAAACCTATTAAATCAGAAGAAACAAAATTCAGTGGTATAACTTAGATAAGCATTAGTATAACGAAATTGCTACAATAATAGTAATATTCCAACTTAGCTTTCAGAAATAAATTTGAAGCTAGATGATTACAAACGTTTTTTTATCAGACACAACATGAAATAACATTATTCATAGATATACCATTCGATTTTCAAATTTGGATCGTTGATTGGCTCGACACGGCATTCCAGATGAGCGTGCTCGCCTTCCTTGAGATGATCCAGATTGTTCAACGGTGTCAGGAACACAGGTTTCTGGTGAATAATCTCTTTCTCAACTTCCTGCTTGATTTCGACAGTTTCCAGTTCACGAATTTTCTGTAAACGCTGAGCGTCCAGCGTGTCCAGGAACAAGCCTTGCTTTGCTGTTTGCATAAATTAGAATAATTTATACCAAAATCACAATAATTTATTTTAATTCAATTCATACATATTCGTTCACACTTGTCAATTTTGCGAGATACGAAGGTAGGAGAAGTCATCCTTCTTTCGTTTCATCTCGCCCTCTTTCACTTGTTTTGAAAAACTTACAAGAAATTTTATTCGACGGGTGATTGTCGAAATAATGTACCCTAATTGTGCGAACGAATGAACGAATAAGAATATCGAATGTTACGTACAATCCACGCTGATCACACAAGTAGTAACGGCCTCGCCAACGGCGTTCCTTGCTTTGCACATGTAGGTGCCAGAATCTTCAGGATAAGCGTATAGAATATCGAGAGCGACGTATCCAAAGTCATAAGTAGTTTTAAATTTATGTCCCTGAGGAATAGGACGTCCGTTTCTGAACCATTCGACAACCATTGTCGGATCGTTCACGGGTGTCAATGTAGCTTCAAGATGAGCATTCTTGCCTTCCGGCAGGTGTTCAATATTCTTCAGTGGTCGGCCGAAAGCGGGCTTCTCGGCAATAATTTTGTCTTCCTCGGGTATGCGCTTGTATCGCGAGTCATCCTCGAGGAATTGTATCTTCTTCAACGCGCTCTCGTGCTGTGTATCATGAATAATCGACGCTCGCGCTGAAAAGCAATTTTCATTGAGGTTTTGGAGCTCACAATTATACATAAAAGAGAAAACTCAAGGTAGGTTACGATCTACAGCCGAAATTGCAAATCTAAAAGACAAGTCCGATGCAATTTTTCTGTTACTCACATTTCACGTCAAGATTAATCGAGCTCTTGGCCGACCCTAATTTATTGGTGGCCTGGCAAGTATACGTGCCCGAATCCTCAGCGTACACGGTCAACACGTCCAGCGACGCGAATCCAAAGTCGCAGGTAGTTCTATACCTGTGACCGGTGGACAGTGGTTTGCCATTGTGGAACCACTCCACCTTCATATTGGGATCAGGATAAGGCTCTATGCGACACTCATAGTGTGCGCTTTGACCTTCAACTAGATTGGTAGGCCCGTTCAGTTGGACCGTAAAGGACGGCTTTTCATTTACCACGATCTCATCTTCCTCACGACGCTGATATTTCGAGGTATCCTCTAGGGCTTGGAGTTTCGACAAAGCACTCTCGTGTTGCGATTCAAATTGCAAGGCCGCCTTGGCTGCATTTCAGAAGAATTTCTCGTCATAATGTGATTGTGTATATTAATGGAACTTTACATTAACACACAATCGACAAAAGACCATGAACAAAAGTTTTTAGTCAAAAATACAAAATACTACGAGTCAAAAAACAAAAATCTACGAGCAAAAATTTCAGCCACATATTGCACGAGCAGATATGGCAGCAATACAAAAATCCAAGCTAGATAATTGAACAAGAAAATATATAAAATGCAAAATCGGTAGTAAGCTAAAAAAAATCGATCTTCTAAATATCCTCTTAATTAAGTTATAGCAAGCATTTATTGATTAATATAGGAGCTTTCGTGTAATTTGCTTAATTAAAGTAAATGTTATCGATTCTGTTTTATAACTTGCGGATTGTACAAAATGTATATATTAGCGTGATACCTGAATGACATGTCGAATCACAACGGCGTACTTACATTGGACGAACAATGTTGCCGAAGTAACTGCTTCTCCGAGTTCGTTTGTCGCACGGCACGTGTAAGTGCCTGAGTCTTCGGGATTGACATACTTCATGTTCAAGGCGACGTATCCAAAGTCGTGCATAGTCGTCACGCGATTTGCTTTTGAATGATGAAGCAATAAAGATTAAGAAACAAATTTCATGGAATACAGAATGCACACAGATGTGATGTCAAGTCGCGGACTTACAGGCAGAAATGGGAACTCCATTTCGCAGCCATTCTACTTTGAGCTTCGGATCTCCAACTGGGATGACACGCGCCTCGAAATGCGCCGCTTGGTTCTCGGCGACGCGGAGATCCTTTATCGGCGTCGTGAAAACAGGTGCTTGTGTGACGATTTCCTCGGTTGTAGTCTTACGCTGATAGCGAGACGTGTCCTCCAAGTTGCGAAGACGTTGAAGCGTTTCTTCATTTTGTGTCTCCGTGTAGATCGATTTCTTAGCTATTGATAACAAAGAAGAATAAATCAACGTTGTTTTATCGAATTTCTTTTTTAAGTAGCCAAGAACTTACAGTGAACGACAGCGGTCGCAGAAGTGATAGCTTCGCCGATGATATTCTTGGCTCTGCAAGTGTACGTTCCAGAATCTTCAGGATACGCGTACATGATATCGAGCGCGACGAAACCGAAACTGTTCGTCTCGACGAATCTGGAACCAGCTTTTACGGGCACGTTATTGTGGAACCATTCGACTTTCATGGTCGCGTCGGATACAGGAATTAAACGGCACTCAAAGTGTGCTCGTTGACCTTCCTTTATCTCGACATTATTCAGCGAAGTTGTGAAAATGGGCGCTTGAGTGGTTGTTTCTTCGATGACTTCTTGTCTTTGGTATTTCGATCTGTCCTCAAGATATTGAATTTGCTCGAGTCCAACTTCATTTTGCGTGTCCGTTAAAATTTGAGCGGTCAAGCGACACGATAAAGTGCAGCACACTTCGTCGCTGCCTACCAGATTAACGGCGCGGCAAGTGTAAGTGCCAGAATCCTCGGCGATCAGGTCGATCACGTCTAATGCGACGTAACCGAAATCGTGAATCGGACGAAATCGGTGTCCTGCACAAATCAATTTGTATAAGATTAAGTCGAATTCAGTTTAATTTAATGATTCAACTTCTTGAACTATGATTTTTATTGAAAATTTCAGCTCATATTGTGGGATTTGATAGAATCGATGGAATGACTATGATTTTAATAAGGAAAGGATTTATAAATCTCACAATATATATATATATATATATATATATATATATATATATATATATATATATATATATGTATGTATATGTGTGTGTGAATATAAAATAAAAGAAGTAGAGATTTGTAATATTAAAGACAATGCTCTTAGAGACAATGTCGTTATTATAGGAGAAATTGAAAAAGTGAAATGGATAAATTACCTATTGTTACTGGACGACCGTTTTTGAACCACTCGACTTTCAAATTCGAATCCGTCACCGGCTCCAATTTGCACTCAAAATGGGCGTGTTGTCCTTCTCGGAGGTTCTCTTGATTCTTTGGCTTTGTGATGAATTTGGGCTTCACATTGACAACTTCGTCGACGAGCTCGTGCCTTTTGTATCGCGAAGCGTCCTCGAGATATTGTATTCTTTCCAATCCTTCGGGATGTTGCGATTCGAGAAGCAAATCCTTCTTCGCGTGTACTCTCACGGAGCACGAAGTGACTGCCTCGCCGAGCTGATTTCTTGCTTGGCAGGTGTATACACCAGAGTCTTCGGGATAGACACCGAGGATGTCCAAAGCCACGTAATCGAATTCGTAAGACGGTCTGAAACGATGACCGGTCTTCACCGGACGTCCGTTGACGAACCAATCGACTTTCATAGTCGAGTCGCCGATCGGCTGAAGACGACATTCCAGGTGGACGTTGGTCAGTTCCACGGTTTCAATGTTGTGCAAGGGTCGGGTGAACTGAGGAGCTTGCATCACAGTGACCTCCTCTTGCTGAGTCTTGCGATATCTGTATGGCAAGAAATAAAATAAGTAATCGCGAAAATATTGGAACCTGAACAATAGATATGAAATGGAAGAGAACAAACCTTGATGAATCCTCTAGCATTTGTATTTGCTCGAGCGATTGCTCGTGCTGCGTTTCGGTGACGATGTCGGATCTTCCAATAACTCGCACGCAAGCCGAAGTGTGCGCGGTACCCAGATGATTAGTGGCTCTGACCGTGTATTCGCCAGAATCGTAAACAGTGACATGTACTATGTCGAGTGCGACGAATCCGAAATCATAGTATGTTCGGAACCTGGAGCCAACTGTGATAGGACGTCCGTTCTGGAACCATTCGACTCTCATCGTTGGGTCGCCCATTGGTTCCAGACGACACTCTAAGTGAATGTTCTTGCCCTCGCTAACTGGTTTAGGGTCGTTCAACGGCTGTATAAAAATCGGCTTTGACTTAGATATCTCTTCGATATGGTAATGCGGCTCGACGAACTTGGATTCCTCTAAGCGTTGAGTCTTCTCGTAAATGCCGCGGTGCATACTGCTGGTGTCTATGCTGGAACGCGCTGAAATAACACGAGAAAAGTAGTTTGAACTCGTGAGATTTTTATTTGCGGATAAAATCTCATATTGTAATTCAAGTATCTTACTTTCTACGACCATGGTGGCAGAAAGTTGAGCTTCTCCTCGGGAGTTTGTAGCCACCACCGTATATGTGCCGGCGTCCTCAGACCGAACCTGAAGAATATCGATGGCGACGTACCCGAAATCGTGATACGTCTGGATTCTATTAGCCGCGGTAATGGGTTTTCCATTATGATACCACTCAATCTTCATACTCAGATCACTCTGGGGCTCAACGCACGCTTCGAAGTGCGCTCTTTGTCCTTCCACGATCTTATTGGTGCCCTTGAGATTTCCCAGGAATCGCGGTGCTTGCGTAACCTGCGTTTCTTCCTGAACCTGCCGCGTATACCTGCTTGAATCTTCGAGGGTTTGGATCTTCTGCAGACCCGTAGGATGCTGGCTGTCGTAAATAACATCGTTCTTACTTATTACACTCAATTGAGCATTGGTATGAGCTTCGCCGGCTTTGTTGTAGGCTCGGCAAGTATACACGCCAACGTCGTGTATCGTTACGTATTTGATGGTTAACGCAACGTAGCCAAAATTAAAGAATGTTGTAATCCGGGAACCTAAGTGAGAAAATCGACAATGAGTATGCGATTGTGCGATATAAAAAGTGTCTAAAACCCGTTATCGCATCAAACTATGTAAGAGGATTATTAAAATCGTACCTCATCAGTTTTTTTATTACCATTGTATATAAACGTTATCTAACGGTAGAAATGAAAAATAAATGAGCAATGAGAAATATAAACAAGAAATTTTCAAATTATATTTTATTTTACTACATTTGAAAAAATTAGGTTAATTGACGAGGTACGATTTAGAAAATCGATACGATTTTAGCAATTCTTCCTTACGTTTAGAAGAACAAGATTTATTACTCACTGGCTTCTACAGGACGTCCATCCTTAAGCCATTCGACACGAAGATCGGCATCGCCAATTGGTTCGAGGCGCGCCTCGAAATGGGCGAAGCCGCCCTCTCGTATGTTGCTCTGATCTTTAATAGGCGATTTAAACTCCGGTGGGCTACTCGGTTCAGGCTGTTCATACACATATTTCTGATGCATGGCCTGTTGATAAGCTTCCAGCTCCTCGGCAGCCTCGATGTACTTCAGTTGCTCGGGGATACCCAAGTCTGTAGTTACGCTCGTTCGCGCTGTGCAAAAATAAAGAAGAAAGTGAAGATCAGTAATTCGAATCCGGGACATTGAGAATTGCTTATCGTTCATCGTGCGAGTTCGAGACTCACCGAAGACACGGAGAGTCGCGGAGCTGATGGCCTCTCCCAAGCGGTTCACAGCTCTCACTGTGTAAGAACCTGCATCTTCAGCCCGTAGGTGCATTATATTGAGCGAGACGTATCCAAAGTTGAAGATGCTAGTGATTCTTGAGCCTAGAAAAGAGAAAGATGATTATAACATTCTTTAGAAATCTTCCATTAATTGTCGGAAATGAGTACTCACTGGCTGTGATTGGTTTTCCATCCTTGTACCACTCCACTTTCATGGTGGGGTCGCTAACAGGAGTCAATTGCGCCTCAAAATGGGCGTTTCGACCTTCCTGTAGCTCACCAAGATCCTGGAGCGGACGGATGAAAACCGGCCGCTGTGAAGAGGTCTCCTCCACGCTCTCTTGCCTTTGGTACTTGCTGTAATCCTCGAGCTGTTGGATGTACTGAAGACTGTCGGGGTGTTGGCTCGCTTGTTCAATCGTAGCGCGAGCTAGAAGACGCAGAGTTTAGTTTAAGTCACACGTTTCGCGGGCAAGCTTCGTAATATAATTTACTCACGGGTCACGCTGAGGGTGGCGCGAGACTCGGCGACTCCGGTCGAGCTGACGACGCGGCACACGTATTCGCCGCTGTCTTGAAGAACGATACTAATGAGATCGAGTGAGATGAAGCCGAAGCGGAAGATGGATGTTGCTCGGGAACCTGCAAAAGACACACGTGTATCGATCATTCATTCGGGAGTGCCTCGTCGAATGATTGATGATTACTTACTCGCGTCTAGTGCTTTGCCGTTGACGTACCACTCCACCCTCATAGTGGGGTCGCCCACCGGTTCGATTCTGGCCTCGAAGTGAATTCGTCCACCTTCGATCTGATGGACATCCTTCAACGGTATAATGAAACGTGGCGGCGGATAAATTTTATCTTCCTCAGGTGGCGGCAGATAAGGTTTGGCGCGCTCCACGTGCCTCAAATAAATCACTTCGGGGCCAGGCGCTGGTCTATAAACGTATGCTGCGTTATTCAATGTTTCTCTCCAATGATAAGATCATGAAAGAAGGTAGATTAAAAAGGAAGTTCACGTTTATTTTAAAGCTATTTATTGTTTATTAGAGTAAAAGGAAAGTGTTCCGACTATTTTATGGATCTGCTCGATCGATTGTCATTTTGTAAACATATTATTTTATTTCGACGTATTTTGCAAAAATTTTTAACATCTATTTTCTCGCTTCTGACATTATAAATTAAAATCGTCGCAGCAAAGGACCAGGCATTTAAAGTAACTTAATTTAGAACAACTTGCTCGTAAACAAGTGTTACTCACTCTGGTTCGATGATTTTCGTCGGTCGGGGTAAATTCAGGCGTCTTGGTTCCGGGGCCGTTCCTTTAGGTGTCTCGACGAAGAGCCGCGCTCGGGTGGCGGTGGAACCGGCCACATTTTGCGCGGTGCATTGGTACCAGGCTGCATCGGAGAATTTAGCGCGCGGGATATCCAAAGTCGAAGCTCCGCTGCCGTCGCTCGATATACGTACTTCGGGGCCGGGGGTTATCGGTACGCCGTCCTACGGAGAAGTTGGTGTCAGAAGTCGGGAAGATCAATATGGTGAACGAAATTACCTTTTGCCATGTGATACGTGGAACCGGTGTACCGACAGCGCGTGCCATGAAGACCACGGGTTCTCCTTCCTTCACGCTCGTGGTGACGAAGCGCTCGACGAATTTCGGCGCAACCACTTGTTCCTTTTCGATGACGCTCAGGTTACACTGGCAGGATGTTTCTCCGGCCTTGTTTCGAGCAATGCACGTTACTACGCCGGCATCGGCACGACTCACGTTCGTGATCATCAGCGAGTTATTTCCGGACTCGTTCACGAGAATCTTGTGTGTCAAGTCATTAGCGACTTGTTGGCCATTTATATACCAAGTCACCTCGGGATACGGACGACCGGTTACGCGACAGTCGAATCTGAAAATAATTTGTGTTCTCATTAATGTCTCATTAATGTCTCATTAATGTGTTAATATGGCAGATACAGTTATCAAGATCATTAAAAGTAAGAAGCAGAAAAAAAGAAATTGGAAGGATATAGATGGTGAAAAGTTAAGACGCACCTCGTCATCTTGCCTTCGGTAGTCTCCCTATCTGTGCAAGTGCGAACGAAATTTGGCGGCAATACTTTGCCGGAGTCGGTAGACTCAGTGGTCGATTCCGCTTGTTGGGTCTGAATGAATTCCCTTTGATGCGCTTGATCTACTTGATCGCTGGACTCAATCGCCAAGTAAGCGGAGCTGACGGTGCACCCTTGAGGATTTTCGGACAATAATGTGTAATGGCCACTGTCGTCCGACTGGGCAACTCGAATTCGTAAGGTAGCTTGTTGATTCGAATAGCTCGTCTCCACGCGTTGGGAATCTTTGATTCTCTGGCCGTTCTTGAACCATGTTAACTGCATCACAATAAAAAGAACAATTAAATTGGTGTAACAAAGACTGTATGCTGTCTATTTCTGTGTGGTCCAAGATTATCAAAAGTTTGGTTACAATTTTCACTACAATATTTTCTCACCCTTGGCTTAGGGTTGCCGGTGATTTTCGCGGTGAAAACAGCATCCGATCCTTCGATGAGTTTCGAGTTTCTGGGTTTCTGTGTGATCTGCGGGGGTGCGACCGGTCCCAAGGTGCGATCGATCGTCGTAGAAATTTGAATGTCGGATTCACCGACGAAACGGCGAGTGATCGACTCGCGAAACTCCGTTTCGCGTAACAGCCTGTATTCGAAGGTGTCGACCTGCACATTCGAAAAGCGCAGAGTTAAATATCGCTCTATTGGAGCGCAAAGCAACTGAATTACGATACCTTGAAGTCCTCGATGCTCGTCGATGTACCATTCACATAGCTTCTCTTGTCTACCGTTTGCTGGTAGCTTCGTTGTTGGAAGACTTGACCTCCGGTCTGCATCCTCTGATCGCTCGATTGGAAGCTCTGTGTAAATTCTTTCTTATAACTGTCCGCCATTTGTTGCGCCGGAGGACCGAATCCCTCGGGTTGTATGTAAACAGAGCAGATCGCTTCGCCTGAAAAGCGTGAAAAGTTAGCTTCGTACGTAGTTTCGTTTTGCCAAAGTTAAATATCTGTGAGTTTCTCCTCGCAGGCAAGCCTCTCACCGTATTGGTTCTTTGCACTGCACGTGTACTCTCCCTCGTCCCCTGGACCGATCTGATTAATTTGGAGAGTGACGACACCAGTATTGTCGTCATAGGACATTCGAATCTTTCGTGATTCCAATAACGGCACACTCTTGTGCGTCCACGATACTGTCGGTTTGGGATTACCCCGCACGCAACCTTCGAAAATCGCATTGCCGCCCTGCGCGAATCGCGCGTTTTTGAAGATTCGTTCGAAAATGGGCGGCGAGGGATCACCCGGTTTACCGGTGAAACTGCATCGAGAGGATTTCATTAAAAATATCATTAACAACACAGTTCTCACAAGAGTTGTAATAAGTTAATATCGCGTCACTTACACTGGTACCGTTGGCGTCGACTGCATCACGACCTCCCCTTGAACTGCGGAAGAAAGAAAGAAAGTGATTTAGAAAGAAAATGTAGAAAGCCCAGCTTTATATATTCAAAGTAGGATAGATACCATTGAAACGTGTCTCATGTTTCGCCTAAATTTACATATTCTACCCGAAACTTTGTAAATTTGATACAGAATCATAAACCTTCATTTTCGCAATGGTCAGTTCTCTCGGGTTAATGAGTAAATTGGTTTAAATTACGGCGCGGCCCGATGTAGACATAACTTAATGAAAAAATGCGGCATCGCCATCGCGCGTAACGGCGACAGGAAAAAAACGGCGTCAACGGTTCGCTTCCTCGATTCGTTCTAGTTGGGAAGTACGACAGGAGTAATATGAAGAAGCAACATGTGTACTCATAAAGACAAACAAATGTATGAAATGATTTATATACACGTATGATGATCGTGAAATTTTGCTTAATCATCAGTCTAATTCTCTCGGCGACAACTTGTAGTTAATCAGCTCCCCCGAAAAAATCATTTAAATTCAAGAGCAAAATTCGATACTATAAAACGAAAAAAATTAATTATATTAATTTCCCGCGTCTTCCGTAAACATGCAATTTGACGTAGCTTCACACGAAGAAAATGTTATAATAAAAATTAGATTAAAAAGCATTTCAAGTAATTACAATAATTTTCCAATAAAAGGTCAAATGCGTGCATAACATTTTAAAACAAATATTCAAATACGATTATAATTCTGCATGGTCCGAGATTACGGAAAATATAATTTTTACCACGATACTTCTTCCGTGTAACCTACGTATTTCTTTCTTAATTTGCATCATTTAATTAATATATTAGACACTAATGAATCAATTGCCCTGCAATAAAATTCATCGTTTTCGCGCATTTTGCGCCAGGCGACTATGCACCGTGGCGCGTTCGCAAGCCGTGATCCGCGAACCGCGGAACCAGCGGAGCCGCGAAGAGGGCGAAGGACGTAACGCGCGCTGCTACAAGCACGGGATCGTATTTTTGCATTCGGATGAGGATCACGTTACCGTGATCCATTTTAGGCGCAACTATCTTTGCCCGGCGCAGCGCGTCGCGACGCACCACGACGCGACGCGTCTACGCCGTGCCCGGACCAATCGCGTTTCCCGTTACGCAAAGGCAGTCACTGACCAAAATAAAATCGAGTCTAATGCTCCTCTCTCTCTCTCTCTCTCTCTCTCTCTCTCTCTCCCGCCTGCGCGCTTGCATACATTTTCGCGTGAGATTTACATATTTTACATCCTCGCGCTCTTCGACTTCGCGAATTCGTGAGAGGCCTCCCCTCCGCTTTCCGCCCCCGACGATACGTTCTTTGCCGCTATCTTTTCTTGGCACCCTTTTTTTCCCCGTCGATCGTCGGTCTTGTCATCAGTCACGTCTCATCATCACTGATGACGCCAAGATGCGCTCATTGCGATCAGCTGTTTCGGATCACCGACACGCTTAAAAAGAAAGATCGTGTGAAACTGATTTTCCTTCGATAATGATACATAGTTCTTGACGACTAATGATACCGGTTAGAACGCGAAACAATCCACGACAGACTGCTGTTCGCAGGTACTTTCGTCGAGATTTCTCGCGCGAAATATTCGATCCTTCGCAGATGAAAAGTAGAAGCTTAACTAGTTAGCTGCTAGCGTAACGGCGCTGCTTACTGTATTTCATTGTCTTTTAGTTTTGTGCGCGTTGAAATATAATCCAACACGTTTCGATGCGCTTGGACGGAATTGAGATTCATAAACTCGTCAGCGTTTATTGTCATTTGGCAGTTGTGCGTTCATGTTCTTCGTTCCATAACGTATCGCGCAGTTGGCAAGGGTGCTCTAGCGGAACTATCTGCGATAATGGAGCTCTAATTCTGCAATCGCTACTGTATCTATCGAAAATTTGCGTAAACGCGACGTGTTGTGTCGTGGCATGTAATATTAATGCACGAGCACCACGTCATCCCCCGAATTCTCTTCTGGTTCCAAGTTTAACTTCTGTTTCAAAATTTCGTGCAGAATCATTTGCACGCTACTAATTTGCCGTAAAATCCGAGAAGTTAGTGTCTATTGGCCTGTTAGAGAAAATAAGCGCAGAGAAAAGTGTGTTAATGAAGACAACGATTTCGTTTCTCCTATCTTATTTGATGTGACTGATAATTAAATATAATTTACACCCCGAGCCAAGGCTACGTGAAACATCGCGGCGAATCAGGTGAACGCCAAAGAGATCATAATGGATGTCCGTCTGAAGCGAAATTCGTTTTGGAAAGCAAATCGTTTTGGAAATTTTCCAATATTTCACTTGTCAAAAGCGTTTAGCACAGCGCGATGATAAATTGTGCATTGCACAATAGCGGATACTCCGAATATTTCGAAACACGCGGGTTCGCTTTCTTTTCCTGCGCATTACAAAATTTCTCTTCGAAATATTCTTTTCGTCTCCATTTTGAGCTCTGAACGAGGAAATGGTACCAACACATATTATATGTCTTTGGAACAATCAATGGGTTAAGTTCGAGTGGACAGTATTAACCTTGGCGACATGATACATCAAGTTAAATATAGAAACCCCGGCTGTTTCGACGCTCTGCAAAACAATCGCGAATTTTGGATCGAAATGGAGGTCGCGTAACGCAACGCTACCATGCCGAGAGGGCGCATGAAAGAATTTTTGAAACGGTCACGCCGAAGAGCGCGGAGAACTATCTTTAGAGCTCTCGCAGGGACCGTGCTCCTCGCACGAAAATAGAACGCGAGTAAGTGTTCGTTGACGGAATATTCGCCAAAAGAAATGCACCCGAGTGTTATTTTGATGTGTTCGTTTTGACAATGAAAAACGGCTGGAATCAATCGCGAAAAAATAAGTAGGCCACTCGCATCCCCCGAGAACGTCGAGCCCAACCTTTCTTTTCAGAAACCTTTTCGTGTTGAAAAATTCACGCTCAATTTAGCAATTGCACGTAGTTTCACAAATGTGCCGTTGGATATAACGCAGATAATTTCGAGTTTGTCGCGCAGATTTTTCCATAACGCTTTTCTCCTCGCTTCGTGTGAGCTGTCGTTCGGGGATATCGTCCCTTCGACCTTTCAAACACGTCACAACTGACCTCTCTGCTGACTGGTGATCTGTTGCCGCGTAACTTGTCGTTCCGTCCGTTGCTGATATTGTTGCTGTTGTTGTTGTTGTTCCTGCATGACGGTCTGTTGCCGCTGTTGCAGCTGTCTCTGTTGTTCCTGGGACTGTTGTCGCTTCATCTTAGCTCGAGGAATCCAATAACTCGGCGGGCCTTTCGAATGGCGATTCCGTCGCGAACTTTACGGCTCGTGCCGGATAAACTGTTAAACTGATCTAAGGAGATCTGCGGAGATCTCCGTTTTGCGTCTCTCTCGCTTTCCTCTCCTTTTCGGCGTAGCGTATTATCACCCGGAATTTAAGCAACTCTCGATGCACAAATCGGAGCAAATCACTCACGTTTATCTCGCTTCGCCCCGTAATATCGTTTCGTTTACCCTGCTGGTAACCGCGGCTCAGTCCAGTCAGTCGGCAGAAGTCAAGTCATCATCAAAGGTCTTGTCCCCGTGATTCTTTAAACCAAGACGTCGGTCGAATGCGAATCGGATAGCTCACGGCTCGAGGAGAACCGACCATGAGCCCTCGCTAAAGCACGACGAGATGGAGAGGGTGGCTAACATGGCTAGGGTGGGGACATCTCGATGCCCGCAACGTTCGCGGACGTCAAAGAGGAAGATGAAGAATAATATAGCGTGTACACGAGTCACATAGCTACGACGTGTATGACGTTCGAGGATAAGGATGATATCCGGAAACATTGATATTCAGCATAGAATATACTGGCGGAATCATATTCGCAACGTAAATCGCTGCTGTGTTTTCTCGCCGCAATTTGAACTTCAGAAGTCGCGCGTGCGCACGGGTGCACGCGCGCTTTTCAAGTTCTGTTAACGACTAGTTAACGACTAGGAAAAAGGAGAGAAAAACGCCTGAAATTCACACTAGATAAACATCACGAGATCCAGAAATTCGCCAGTCGCTGTACAGAAGAATTTAACGAACAGCCACATCTTGTGCATCTCCGGAGCGGTAAAAGTCTCACGCAACGTTCTTGCGCTCACTGACAGCCGCCCACGCATCTCCACATTATTGCCCCCTCCGTGTTCTCCCTCCGTATCCCTGTCGTCGTTCCCCTCCGAGTGCTCTAGGCTCTCTTAAGGCTGGATGCACACGGTGGGTACATTTCTCAACCTTTCTCTTTTCTTTCCCTTCCTCGCACTTCTCAGCCATTTCTTCTCTTTGTCTAATATATTTACAAATCTTCAGATTTTTTCTCTTTTTTTACAAAAATCGAGGCACGTGTGTTTGTTTCAGTCTAATATGCTGTTACACTTTCTTTCTTTTTTTCTCTTTTTGGATTTTCAACAGGCTGCTTCAACAGATTTAAAGTAAGGTCGTCTAAATATTTATTAGTCGGAAGATTGTCTTCAACCTAGCACCTATACATTATTTTCTGTTTTTTTTAATCTATATGTATTTCTGTATAACTGTTGAACAATTGCTTTTTACATAATTTTTGTTATTTTCTCAGCTTGAAGGGAATTTTTCCTAGAACATATAGTATAAATTTATCTATCTATCTATATATTTATCTTTCCCTCGCTCCTTCTTTCCTCATCTTTAGTTTCATAGTCAGACCGATTCCGTTCGAATCGTTTGTTCTTCCTTTTCCTTCTTTTCTCGGAGGAGTTTGGTAGTAAAAAAAAAAGAGAAAGAAAAACAATCATTGTTGCACGTGCGTGGGCCCGGCCAAGTTTAGCCGCGGGAGCAACCCCGTGCAACTTCGAGAGCGCACCGCGCTCATAAATTTAAGTCGCCCAGCCGTTGCGCACCATATTCTAAAAGCGTACATACACTCCTATCAGTGAACTAACAACAACGCGGGGGATCATCTCGTAATAACTGACAACTCGCACTCTCTCCATCTTCGAGAGACTCTCAATACCATTTGGCGCATATTGTGAACTCAAGCGGGAAGCCCTCTTAAGATCCGATCGATTCGTCTCTAGTTTGACGCGAGCGTGAGCTTTGCGGATCTCTCGGAAATACTAAAAAGTACTGCTAGAGCAATCACAATGTTCTGCATGCAGATTCCAATGGAAACGATCCTATTTAACCGTTAGCATTTTATACGCCGACGAATCGGAGCGAGACACGCATCAATCGCGAGGCTTGCATGCCGAGCGAACTAGTTGTGTGCGTGCTAACGATACGCATCTCCAAATGTAATGTACCTAAGATCGTAACTAATTGATACGGATTAGTCCTGCGTGTGTGTGAGTTCTCATGAGATATCGTCGACTAGGAACCTGCGTAGAACGACGACGCGCGCGTAAAGGGAAGGAGGCACCCTCCTCGGCGTGTTCGCGCTGAGAACATCGGTATGATCATCACGAAGGAGAAGGTGGGTCACGCGTGAATCACCGCGTTTCGTACAAGATGCCGCATAGCGACGCATCTATTTTCAGATTCCCTGAGAAATAATCTCGGTTGAGATGACGAGAAGCGCCTTCGCGCCTCTATGATTCAACTAACGAGCGTGAGTGTTTTGTACGTGTCGCGAAGAGAGCTCATAGACTCGTCGATCGATCGCCAGATTCTATTTCGGGTGTCTACAATGAACAATCGTCCTTAATCATCACTAAGAACCCCAGACGCGGTTGAAGATCGCGTGGGGCTCGTCTATAAAATCGCTTATAAAAAATATATAGAGAATCAAAGACCTACACTGAGAAAAAAATATCTAAAAATTAACAAATATTTATTAAGTAGATACTATTTACATATTTACTTAAATAAAAATTCTTTTAATTCAAATCGAATATTGTGTACTCGATCTAAATAAAAAGAATTTTGATTTAAGTAAATATGTACCCACCTAATAAATATTTGTTAATTTAAAAAATTTTTTTCTCAGCGTACAAGAGCCTTGCGTTAAGTTTTTATACGTTTTATTAATCTGTGGAAATAAAAAACTATCTCACTATTTCTTGCTCTCTATTTATCTGATACATCAAGATAATTTCCTCGGATCTAATTGCTTACATATACTTTTGGATTTTAATCTTAAAGCTTGATTTTATTAATATTAATTCACTTATAAAGTTTTACATGCTATTTGATGTATTTATGCTTCCGTTCGCAAATATGGGACAGGCAAAGAAAAGATGGCTACCGACTTCTGGTACTCACCAGTTTCCTCATTACACAGCGTGTCACGACTCTGCGATGGCGGTTTGCTGTCCAAACGTAAATTACCGGCGTCGTCGCAAGAGGTTCCGTTTCTCGTGCCGGTAGTACCTAATTCACGCCCAACGAAATTTGTCTCCTTCATCGTATAGAGCTTTGTCATCGCGTTTTCGCAGGTGCTCCCGTCTATGAAACTGTCGTGTAATTCGATGATAGTTTGCTGATGGGTTGGTGGCAACGAGTCGCTCATTGCGCTCTTGAGCGAATTGCATTAATAGGGACAACTACCTGTGATTCGTGGTCAATCCGAAATCATAAAAAGACTCGTGCGGCTGCTCGCAATTTGTCAAAACGGGTTTAACGTCCTTGTCTCGCAATAGAAATAGGTCTTTTAAAGCTACGTATTTTGGCGAATCCTCCAGAAGCCGTTCGACTGCACGCTCTTTTTGATCACGCTGTGCGCCATGCGCCGGTGATGATGCGTCTGTAATTAAACGTAATGATAGCGATACTGTTTGGAGAATGTAACGTAATAATCGCGATCTTATTACGCGATTGTATCGCGCAGAAAACGGTTTAGCGCTCTCCTGCAAATATCGCTTGTTTTTCTTCCGTATATTTTTGGATCGCCGACTCACATTTTCCTCCGCATTCCGTGAGATTACTTTGCTATCTATTTTCATACCGGTTCATCCGTTTCTCATACAAGAGATGAGTCGAGCTCGGTAATGTCTAGAAAACCGTGGAATTCTTGCGGCACAAAACTCGTATCGTTTTTGCATTCCGAATGCAATGTAATATTTTTATTATTACTTTTCTATTTTAAGCCTCCGAGTGATAATGTATTTTCACTAACTTCAAAGTGACAATCAGAGTCATTAATATATGCCTCAATTTTCCTTCTTTTGGGATGCTCGAAAAAATTTCCAAAAATTATTAAAACTTCCTTTACTCTTCCAGTCGAAGAGTACGCAGCTTTTTTGTGAAAAATAAATTGCTAAGTTTTATTTTTAATGATTTTTAAACAAAAGTGGTCTGAAAAACTTCTTAGAATGTCCGGACATTAATGACCTCGATTGCCACTTGGAAGGTTAATAAGCAGAACATTTCTTCAATCTTTGCACGAAAGCTTACATAAAATATTCATAGAAGATGAAATGTAACACATTTTTGTACATTTACACTGCTGACGCTGGTTGCATTACGAATCATTAAATGCCTATCAGATATGCCGTCCTTATCGACAACGTTGCAGTATCGCAATATCTTGTCAATACCAAGAAAAGCCAGTTGCGAGAGGCAGAACAGAGAGGAGGGATGGAATACAGGCGAGAGAACACAAAATAATTCGTTACACCATTGCCCATGTTTATATTGTAGAGGAAGCACACATTTATTTACATAGTATATAGGTATTGCTGACCATAAGTAAATAGCGACATTGATAAATAACGATTAACTCCTTGCGACTAAAAAACACGCGAATTTTTTTGTTATGACGGTGATGTTTCGGTTTTTTTCTTCTTTCTCTTAATATCGACAATCAATGATTTTACGTAACTTGTGGAGCTTACGCGTGGCGCTTTTACAAAGTTGCTCGAAAAATACCATTTTTTTCGTGGCTATATCCATTTTCAATTGTATATCCAAATGCGCGATTCACCTCCGTCAACTAGACACAAGGAGTTAATGACGCAACGATTTGTTTTGCGAAGCGATACATGCCCCATGATAAAGTCCCACATTCCGTTTAGCTACAAAACACCGACCCCTCATTCTAAGCAGAGATAATTCACGTGGAAATTTATCAAGCTACAAAGTAAGAAGCGCATCCGGGGCGATCAGGTGTACTCCTATTGTATCTATATATTCAGCGTTTGTTAATAAATAATATTCTCATAGTTTATATTTTTAATTAATAATATAACTAGTACGTTCCAACGATATATCACGACGTAAAGCAATGTGAAATAATATTCATCTTTGGTTCGAAATATATAGGAAAAATAGTTCTTTCGCTTCCTACTCTATCAGATGTTTCAGTCGTAGTCAGTTTCAATGAAGATTTGAAAAAAGGAGTAATGTAAATCTTGCCTGTGGCAATTCTGGCGAGAAATATCTAACAGATGCTTAAGGAGAAGTCTTGAATATATTTAAGTAAAGACAGAGAAGAATAGAGTTGAAACAGGCGAGAGAAAGACGTAGACGAGAAATAAAGTATAGTATGCGCGTAGAGTCAGAAGCTCTTGAAAACTCCTCCAATAAGATAATAAAAGTATTCTATATATTATTTAATAAAGCGTTTTCTCTTTAGCTTTTGCACGTTGCTTTTTCTGTAGTTGCTCGCTCGTCGTCGACTAGCTTGGTCCAACATTACTTGTTGCAACATTAT